TTGTGCATTTATAAAAAGTAAACTTTTTCAGAAAAATTTCCCCTTGAAAAGGTGTTAAGCTCGTTAAAAAGTAAACGTTTTTAGAAAAAATCCCGTTGAAAAGGTGTTAAACCTTTGTTAAATAAATTCGTATTCAATCGATTTATTGAAACACGAAATTTATTTTAAGTTCGTAAAATAGCTAAGAGCCTACATTTCATGACGATGTGAAAATGGAGTGTGTAGAGTAAACTCTCGCTTTCCTATAGCCCATTATGTCTCAAAATGACTCGATTTCGTCACAAAAAATTAAAAAAAAAAATTCGAATTCGAATTTCGTAAAATTCGCTTCGATGTGCACTGGCTCTTGTCTAGATGCACCTCTGTACCGAATTTCGTAGCCGTGGGTATATTAGCTTACGCGCAGCGAAAGGCACACACACACAGACAGACTCTTACTTTTATATGTAGAGATAAGTCCGAAGAAACTTGTGCTTAATAAGCTTAAAATGTAGATATTGTTGCGTAGGGGTTCGTAACAGCTTGAATTCACAAGTTTCACGAAAAGTTAAAATTCTTCTCACAAGAAATAAAACAAAATGCTGAAATTTTTCCACCAAATATTCGTACAATATCACAATCTCACACAGTAGTTATATTTTAAGCTACTAAACAGTTAAATAGAAGGCAATTCAAATCTCAGAGAAATCTAATCCGATCTTACCGCGAATTCGCTAAAGTCAACAACAGCATATATCTAAAGAACTGAACTGAGATGTTTTTCTCTGGCTTTAATAAGCTTTTTGATCAGTCCCAAGAAGCTTCTTGTAATTTCTCGTGTTTCTGGATAGCAAAAAGCGTACAATTACAGTTACAGCTAACACACAATTGCATTATTTCAATTTAAACCTAAGTTACGAGATATATGTTTATTAAATGCACGTGCTCCTGTATTTTTATTTTTTATGCATGATCGTATGTATGTTTCTCGCATTGTGAAGAAACAAGGGTACCTAGACCCGTCCAGTTTTGAATAACGTAGTCTTCCACCCCGACAATGGGCATCTGGAGCCCGTATTTTTAAATTTCACTTTGTTTTATTATCTGTTTCAAATTTTGTAAAAGTTTAACAACTTTTTGATTAACAAACTCAAAAATTTCAAAGCGAGCAATAGCAAAACTGTACCAAAAAAAAAGAGAACATTTTTATTTCCAGCGCGGGAGACTGTGTATCGGAAATACTGCAGATATGTTCTTCTTAAATTATTTTGTGATATTGCTGTTGAATTGAATTTTATGGCTTAAGTGCCTTGAATATTTTCCCGTAACTCTTTCAGTGCATCTACTCCATTTTTCTATTCCATACGTTTCTGATTTTGGTCCGCAAAAAATATTTGACATTTCCTGTACCAATGTTATGCTTTAAAAAATATTAAATATTCTGCGTCAGATACTGAAATGGAAGACTGCCTGCAACTGTTTAAAAATTTGAATATTTTTTAACTTTCCCCATTTGGTCTCAGAGGGAGAAAGAAGAAAAAGCAACTTTTCTTCTTTCTCATTTTATTATGAAGGTGGGAACAGCATGGCTACATTAATTGTTTAAACACCATGCATCAAATAGTCACCACATAAAAAATTGGAAAGGAAAATTTCAACGTTCTATAGTAATAGTAACTCGTTTTTGAGTTATTCGAGATACATACGTACACATGTACAGAAGGCACCAGAAAACTCTTTTCTGAACCCATTTTAAATTTATTTTGCAATCCGTTTGGAAAAAGAAAAAAAAAAAAAAAAAAAAAAAAAACGAAGTGTCCTTTATTCTATCCTTACATACAGATGTCACGCAAAATCATCATTCAGATGCATTCGGTACCATTACATTTATCAGGGTGATGAACATATGCTTAACAGAACAGGGACAAACACACGACGACAACAACGGATACGACAGGCATCAACATTAGCCATTGCATGTGTTTAACTGCACTTATACAAATGTTCTGCTGACATTGCTCGAAGCTCTGTGTCCAGCTTAAATATCGAAGAAGATATGGATGTTTTTAAAAGCAATTCCTTTTTGTCATCGGAAAATTAAGATACTGTTGAGGCAATCTCCCGTAGAGATGTTGGTAATAGGAGAAAGTGGAAGGAAAACATCCTGGGATCCGTCCTCCAGTATTTTCTCCTTCTAAATTGGATAGACGAAGCTTTCCGTTTCTTATGGGTATAAAATGGGTCGTCCCTGCGGTGTACTCTAGGCAAGGTTTTTGTGATAAGACAACTAAATGAGCGATGCTTTAGTCATAATTCTTAACGAAAGCTGAACCAGACACAGATATTTCTGAAAATGGCACAGATACTTCACTACAGACCTAAAAGTATTATCCTAGCACACTAGTCATCTGGAATTGCTTCCGAGTGTGTGTTTTTATCTGGTAGTGGTATCTTTTAGTTATCGGTTAAGAGTAGTACCTTAGGATGACTATATAGGATATATTTGATCTAGCAGATGAGACTGTCTCCCTGATATCTAGATTTTATTTGGGAAATTGAACACACAATACTGAAATTACTTCCATAAATTTAGGGTATACTGCAGCATAGAATAGAACAATACTGTGTGAGCAAATAATAAAGTATTTAACAAACACGATTACAATACACAACTAGGGCCCACCAGCGGCAGAGCGATAAAGTCGCTGAACACTGGTAGTCGGTCCGAGTTTCAAATTCCGCGAACGGTTTGGCTGCATGAGCGTTTTCGTGGTTTTGCCCATGTATACGAGCCAGTTTCCCTTAGAAAGTCCTCCACGAAGGCAAACCTTCCTTTAGGCAGATAGGCCTAGTGTGCTTTGCCGTAATTAAATACACCACACCACCGTAATTAAATAAACCAAACCAAACCAAATACAATACACAACAATAACTGTTTAGCAATATAGTATATAGTATATACCTAATAAAAACATAAAGAAATAAATGACAGAATGCATACACATTATTTCATACACATTATGCATTATTTAATAATAGGAGAAAGTGGAAGGAAAACATCCTGGGATCCGTCCTCCAGTATTTTCTCCTTCTAAATTGGATCTATAATTTTGTTATGTATTTAGTCTTATTTAGAATATTATGGGATTAATGGATATAAATGTTTGTGATTATATCAATAGCTTAGTAGTCTGTACTGAGCAGAGCATTAGCTCATAGAGGTTCAGTATTTTAACATGTTGAGTTTAAATATCTTTTTGTACTTTAGATAATTTGACTTTGCGGATTTAATGCCAAACATTGCTCCGTTCTTTTGTAGATAGGAAAGGATTATAGCGGCATCTGGCATATATCTCGGCTCAGGATGTTGAGTTTTGTTGTATTTTCATTATTTTAGGATGCAAATGTCGGCAGATTCTCATAAACGTAGTGTTATGAGCGTCTGCAACATGTTCAGTAATTCTACAATAGATTCATATAAGCATGTACAATATATTCAATGATTTACGTTACATTTAAAAAATATATCAATATTTTGTTGAAATATTTTTTTTTAAATTTCGAATCTAATTCACTGCGTGAGTAAATTTGTAAAGGTACTATTAGTCTACATTAATCAGTTATTTATAATTTCAGCCTTTACTGTAATTTATCTTTTCCGTTCCCTCATCAGAAATGCAAATAATCAGAGAGTACGTCTCTCGAGCTCACATTACTTTAGTTCTGCCATTCTTGTTAAGCTTATAATTATTCAGCTTTGCGTTATTTGCTGCCAACATTTAAATCGTTACGCCGGTTAGAATTTTGGTCCAACTTCGACGATGATGATGCCGTGTTTATGACAAAGTGCAATTATATAACTCCGAAGCTGGCAACCTCGGCAGTTCTATCAGTATAAAGTAGGTCCACTGGATCTTCGATGCCGATGTTAAACAGTCTGGCCTGGACTGCTGGGCAGCTGAAGATGGGATGGCGAGACAGTTAGATGTCATCTGGGCAATGAGGACAAATGTTGGTGTAACTAACGCTGTCCGTCTGCAGAAATCCTCATCCCTTTTAAGAGATTTGTCCTAAGTCTGGTTATGATAATCGATATGGCTCTGTCACAGTTCAATGTCGGGATGGAGTTTCCTTTAACTTGACCGGTTAGTCGTTGGCTGGCAACTGCATTGGCATCAACGAGGGTTAGGCAGTTGGATGGCTGAGGAGAATCACGGGAAGCCTTTGCGAGCTCATCGGCCTTCTCATTACCAAAAATATTTACATGCGCCGGTATCCACTGTAAGATGCAGGATCTTTGGGCTGCAATGATTTTGTTTGTGAGCTCCAACTTCGATTTAAATTTAATTATGTAGTCTATGACGTTTAGAATACGTTTAGAATTTGAATATGAATGTTACTATAGTTATATTGCTACAAGCGGTGATTGATGTCTGGGAGCACAAGTGCCTCTAGGTTAAAAATTATGTTTAAATAAAAGGTTAGTTTCAAACCTCTTCAAGTGAGTGTTCTTTTCAAACATAGCGATAATTCGTATAACGTCTGTTATTATTTGAAACTAAATTACACTACCAAAGAAAACCAAACTGTGTAATTCATATTTAAAATCGAAGTTGCTCGGTCTATTAAAATAAAATTTCTCAAGATAATTTTAAATATATCTAGAAACAATCCAAATTCACTATTTCAGAACGTACTTCTAAATATGTAGACCTAACACGTTGTAATAAATGTTATCCTTTTCATTTTTTATAATAAACATTTTCTTCTTTGGATTTCTTTTTTAATAAATTCTATTATAATTTACTTTTTAACTTTTCCCATAAATTCTAATTGTCTTTTAATTTTCTATGAAGTGGGAATGGTGTATGAGTTCTATTCATTTAATTATTTATTGCCTTAAAAGTTTTAGAATGTAAAAGACAAGCGGTTCTTAAGAACATTTTGCATTCGATATTTTATAGATAATGTGAAGCAAACTGAATAAGAGTTTAACACATTTATAATAAAAACGACACGTATAAATTGCAAAATTGGTTTTATTTATATAATATAACACAGGGTGGAAGCTCTGACAAGAATATTCAGGTATCACAGGTACTAATTTACAAATGTAACAATCTAAACAGTCTTGCTATAGCACCCACACCTCCTACAACACATATAGCACCCAACATTTACAGCACGTAACAGCAGTAATGTGATTTTCTCAAATTCATTTCAGTAAGTGACGAGAAAAACGCATGTCGTGAAAAAAAAACTTCGTAAAGCTGTCATAATTTAAGTCCAAAATCTGTTTCTTTCGTGAATAAGCAAGAATCCCCAGAATGCCGCAAGTCACAAATCAGAGTGTGAGCTTTGAAGAATTGGCATGAAGAAAACAACTGACAGAAAAGTAACACAACTGAAGAAAGTGTTAGATACCATCACAAAGAGTTCTAGAAACATAATAAATTAGTAATGAAACGCAGCAGAATATGCATTAGTCCTGTCCCTAACGAAAACTGCAAGTAAAATTAGGAAGATGTACCTAAGATAAGTAAGCCAACCAAAAAGCACACGAAACACAAACCTAAGCCTAGAAACAGCAGCCAGAATTTTGGAAGCGATGAATTTCATCTAAGATCCAATGTTCCAAGTAAACGAAAGAATTAAATATATCCAATGAGTCCCCTAGAGTAGCTGCAGAAGTATTCACCATGTGTTCTTAATCCATACCGGATAGTTTTACTTTTCACTATTTAATTATTCTTCTCATCACTCAAGGCAAAAGTACAGTCCGTCCGTTTATTACTGTTATTTCCGATGGAGTACCGTAATATCCTTAACCTCTTAGGGCTGGTCGGCCAATTGAACTGACGTCACCCCCTCTGTTCCTGTACAACAAAGGTGCTGCTCTTTGAATATCTTCTTCGTGCAAGAAGTAGAGTTTGGGATCTCCAGCGTTAATCCTATCGTTGATGTTATAGAAGCTTGGAGCATCTGGACAGGGCACGGCATCTTCAGGATCAGCGCAAGTTAATGTGAGCTGGTTGAAGAGGGTTTGGTTGCCGCAAAGGAAGGACCATTGCTGAATGTCCCTTGAACCATCATCTCTCTCGACGGTGTGGCAGACGTGGAAGACTTGGCAGTTGTTGTCTACATCGGCGTAATAGCCATCGTTGGAGCAATAGAATGTTGTTTTAATTGGGCCTACCAAAATATCTGCACCATCAGGGAGGGCATATGCCTCACGCTTTGCTCTCTGGAAAAGAAGAGTTAAATTCTCATTACTTGGCAAGACTACTAATTATATGGAACTATAAATTTCCTAAATATTATAATTTTTATTACAAATTCAAATGAATGACTGAAGACCAATGAGTTTTGTGCTGATTTTCTTTAAAATCCTACAAAAGTCCGAAGGATTTTTTAAATTTCTTAAAAGAGATTACATTGAAATATTTTGATTAGAATGACTCTTGTAATTGAATGTATATAAAAATTTAACTTGTTGCCGTATTTTAGATCTTCTGCGTTCCATTTGTTTTCGCAGAAGGGCTATCAATTTCTAAATGGCATTTTGCGTCCGTTCATTTTTCAAACTGTTGCAACCAAATATTTTCGCCATGTGTTATATTTAAAGAAATTAAATAATGAAAAATCTGTATGAATGCAGAATGCAGATTGTGAAAAAATTGTGGTTCGGGTTCTGAAAAAAGGACGGTACCTTGAGCCTTCAAATTTTGAATAGTATTCCAACCGAACGCGGGCGCTTGGATGCCTAAATTTTTAATTTCGAATGTGATTTATTATCTTTTTCAAATTTTGTAAATATTTGACGAATTTTTGATTTAAAATCTCAAAGATTTCAAAGCGAGCAACGGCAACAGTGTACGAAAAAAAAAACATTTTTATATCCAGCGCGCGAGACAGCGTATCAAAAATTCTAAAGATATACTACTTTTAAATTATTTTGTGATATTGCTGTCGAATTGAATTTTATGTGTTTTAAGCACGAAGAACATGATATTTAATAAATAAAGGTGACACAGGAAAGTTTAAAAAACGTCCTTTTCGGTTGTAATATGAAATCTGACAGCTTTCAGATTTTTTTTTCTTTTTAAGTATTTTCAAATTTTGGTTTGCAAGTACAAAAAATATATTAAAGTACACTAAAATATATTAAAGTGTTGAACTAAGTAATAGTAAGGTGATATTGTAATTAGATTAACTGTAATTTATTGCGTAAGCTTGTAATTCTTTTCTATTCTAAGCAAAACTCATAGTGATTTTCCATAAGCCGTTTACATTTCTAGGAATAAAATTTCTTATGAAAGTTCAGAATATATAAAAATTGCTAAGATTGTTAATTTGAATTTGTAGAGTTAAGTGCTTTGATCTGCAGGGTTCTATTATATTACTGCGGAAATAATCCTACAGTTTCCAGCTTTTTATTCTTGAACGCAAATATGCACCAAAATATCGCACAGATATATAATTAAATGTAGTTTCAGGGAAATACTCGAAAGTATACTGTTGAGTATATTCTGCTACTAAAAGTATTGCTTGGAGAATTTTCTCCTTGCAGGCACAGCAAACATTTTAGAATGCATTAGTTAATTGTAATCATTCCGCTTAGTTCAGCAGGGAAATGATTCAGTAATAGCTATACAGGAATAATAATAATAGACATATAGGGATAATAATAGGAATATAGGAATAATTAAAAGTTATACAAGAATAACAATAGTTATACAGGAAAATAAATCAGTTTTGCAAGTTCTTTCCAGTTAGAATATTTAATAAAAGTTTTATCCGTAGAAAATTGAGATTAAAGTATAGAAAATAAAACTTATAAGAAGAATTAAATTGTATTTGATTTAATAACCCAATACGCCCAAATAAAAGGCTCAAATTAAAGATAAATTACTCATTGTTGATCTCATGAAAAAAAAGCTGACTTTTCAAAGGGAATCCATATTTTCCCACAAAATCACCAGTAGTTATGGAGGGCCTTATATGTGCTTTATGTAAGTTTTTTATACATGCATTAAAACACCTTTATTACTAAATACATTAATACATATTAAAAGTTTATATACGTTATTTACTTAAATATGGATTATATTTTAAACTATATTTAAATGACTATATCGATATATTTAAATGATTGTTCTCTAATAATAAGCCTTTTGACATTTATAGTAATATTTAAATTGTTTTTCAGCTATATTTGGAACTATATTTGGAAATATTAAACATATTTTATTTTATATTTACCTTTGGTGCTGCGTATGCTGCAGCTAGGAGCATGGCACCTAAAAAAATAGAAAAAAAAAACTCCTTTAAAATAAATTTTTAATCTAGATTTTGATCTAATGTTAGTTTGTAAATTACATTATTATTTTATTGTTCATGAATAATTAATTTACTTACTTAAGATAAGAAATTTCATGATTACGCCTCGGTTTTAGGAATAGCAACCTGGAACAAAAAAAGAAAGTCTCGAAATCATGGAAACACACATTGTATTCAGTAATAGCTCTGTTTACTAGATTAGCTAAAACTTATAGCTATAAACTTATTATAAAGGTAACACGCAAAACGCTTGAAAAACGCCTCCTTGTATGTTATTTAAAATATGAAACCTTTCGGATTATTTTTATTAGAATTTTTTTTTTTTTTTTTTTCGAGCAATTTAAAACGAACTACATATAAAAACTTGCTCTAGAACCAAAGTTATGGTTAAAAAAAAATTCTGCTTTTACTTTTTAAAGGTTAGTTTTTATTTTATTGTGGCAAAGCCATATAGGGGTATCTACGTCAGAGGAAGAATGCCTTCCTGGAGGACGTTCTAAGTGAAAGTGGTTTTTTAAAAGGATAGCGGTTTGTGCATTGTTGCATTTCGGCAAACTTTCTACTTCCAAACTGTACATAAAATACTTCTGAGTAGACTTTTAAACAAATACGTATAGTTACAAAGTTACGCGTGATAGAAAAATTAATTTTTTAGTTTATTTAAGTAAGAAAGTACAAAATTCTAATATTTTTTTGACTTTAGATTTCATGAAATTGTGATTTCCTCGATTTTTCTAAACTATCTGTTTAGAATTGCAAGAAAGTTTCTTTAACTGTATAACAATGCATTTGTATAAACAGTCAATTACACTGCTGTCGACGTCAAAACGTTTAAAATATTACTTTTGAACGTTCTTATATCGGAAGCGCTAAAATCTCTCGGTTAAAATTTCTCAAATCTTTAATTTCCCTGCTTGCCTCCATGATATCTTTTGAAAGCTTTGCTCATAGTTGCCAAAAAGTTTCAACTAAATATATAAATACTATGTCTTTACAAAATAACTAGCTGTTATGCCTCAAGGGTAAGCATTTTAGAAATCACCTTTTATTAATTTAGAAATAAATAAAATATAATTTCTAATTTTATTATTTCTTATTTCTAGTTTTCTAATTTTAGAATTTTTAGAAATTATCATTAATTAATTTTTTAATGATCTATGGGTGTCAAAAATAAAAAATATTATTTTCTAGGGAAATTTAATTCGATTAAGTTAGGTCTTTTTAATTACACATAAGTTTTCTAAGTTAAATTATACATTAGTTTAAATTATACATTATTTTAATTATACATTAGTTTTCTAATTTGGGAAAAAAACAGCAAAAAACATTGACTTCTTTATCCATAATCCTGCCCGTAGTACATACCATTATTTTAAATCGATGGCAAAGAAAGCATTTCATTTTTACTTTATTTAAAATACTTTCGCCCTACTAAAATAATTACTAAAATCATTTAATTTGAACAATATTAAAATACTTAAAAAATAATTTAATTTGAAGGTACTCTTATGTTTAACTAATTCTATTTTCCTCTTTCTATTCTTCGGGTATTTAGTAACCGAATTATAAAATGGCAACACCAAGTTATTTAAAAGCGGTTTTCATTTGAAAGTGTAAAAACCAAATATAGAAGTAGAAGCTCGGGGGTAGCAAATTTGAAAGAGTTATTTGGATTTAAATTTGATGCGTGTTTTTATAGAATAATAAAATAATATTTTGAGTACCAAATATAAGGAGCTTACAGTGATGTACGTTTTTGTAAGCTATCAATCAAGACAAGCATATAAATATCTTACCGAATAAATTCTAAAATGTTAAAGTTTAATAACAGTTACATAGACAGTACAATCTCTTATAAAAATTGCAAAATGAAGTATAATTTTACCACTAAAGAGAAAATGACTAAACTTATCGTCATTAAATAAGGTATATTTATAAGATTTGTAAAACATTCAGAAACATTATTTTATAAAATTTGTAAAATTATTTCCAACAAGACGGGGATTTAAATTATAATATTATGACAATGAAATATAAAGGAAGTTCACATGCAGAAAGAATAATGGAAATTATGGTTTCAAATGTTGATCTTAATTCTATAAAATGTTGCTTCGAGGATATGGGAAATATTCATGTCGTTTGAAATGTTAAATAGATACCAGTCTTAATAAATACTTTAGTATCTTAATATATACCTAAAGTACGCTGACAGACGCGGATAGAAGAAGATTAATTAAAATTGCAAAACATGCCATGGGTAATTTTAAAGTGAATGTTAACAACTCATCCGATACAGATGTTGCAAAATTATATTGGTCACATATCATTGGTTGGAAAAAAATTGTAAAGCACACAGTTGCACATAGTGAATTTAAAATATAATTTACAAGAGCGTAACCAAACAAGGGAATTGCTAAAATGTTTATAATATTATAAGTTAGCAAATTTTAGGTAATAATACTAAATGGTACGAGGTAAAATCAGACCCATAAAACAAAAAATTGGCAATATGTTACACATTGGAAACCAAAGAATCTTAAAAGTTACATATACACGAAAGATGAATTTTTTATACTAAATTTGCAATGTTATTTTAAAAATTTGAATTAGATTCGGTAAAATTATTCCAAGTAAATGTCCTAAAATATCAAAATTCTCCACTATTGTCGAATTTGAGAACTGCTGAAGCAAATAGGCAGAGAAATTCTGAAGCTACATTCTGACTCTAGTGGCTGAATGTTGGAGTTGAGATACTCTAAACACTATAATTTCTAACAAACAATGGGAGAGGTGTCTTACCTTTGCTCTTCTTGTTGAGGGTGAGAATGAATAGTGAGAGTTGTTCTCGCTTTTTATACCTCCCGCAGCTGCTTTAATTCTTCACGTGCCACACAAGAGGGTCAACGAGGCCGAACCGTAAATTTTTCCTCCAGTGTGGTTGAGAGAAAAAAAAAAGGATGCAAACCAGCTAATCATAAAGCGATCAGATGTGCAAATGTGTCCGGAAGAATCGGAACGTAACCTTGTCGCGCGAAATGACCTTTGATCCTCATCAAGCGGGTGATAGATTAAAGATGAGTTACGACATTTGGCATTAGTGCTATAAAATCACGTTTGTTTTTTAGTAACAAAAATAATTTCAGGACGGTTAGTGGACTTAAGCTCTAAAACAAAAACGCGAAGAAAGAACAGAATATATGCACGCCATCTTTGGTCATGATGTAACTATAGCGAATGCTTCTGGAATGAAAAATAATTTTCTAGACTTGTTTTTAATAAAATCCAAACTTCCATATTACTCCATTCTCGGATGTAAATAGCAAGTATGTATATTTTGTAATACGTAAAAAAATCACTGCACCTGGAATTACATTTTGACTGAGCTGAAGTAATTCAAAATTACAGATAATGCGTATTTTCATCTATTTCTGTGCAACAATAATGAGTATTCTTTATAGCACGCGAATGGAAGACCAGCCTATGGTTCGGAAGATGCATGCGAGCATCAGATTCCACTGAAGAGGATTGTGGTATAACCGAAAAGAATTGAGGGGAGGCTTAAGATTTTGAAATCGAAAATGAAACCCGGCTGATTAATCTGTACGAACATAATTGCTGTTATGACCATAACGCTTTTTCTTAAACGAGGAGCAAGTAAGAATTGTATTTCAAAAAGCAAGAAAATTCAAAATCAAATTGAAGCTCTTGCAGTTTTTCTTACATCAAGAACGATACCTCAATTTCCTCTGCCACTTCGGCCGGTTAAAATCTCGGAAAGATGGAATTTACGTAATTTTTAGAAGAATTCCAGACTATATTTTGTGATTTCAGTTTTACCCCGATTGCATTTGAAGAAATGCCAGTCTGGCTTCAGTATATTTTCTATTCCATTCTCAACTGATATCATATTTGCCAATTTTAAGTAAGTGGAGATACTATAATACGAGTAATTTAAGGTATTTAAAAAAGTAACTTTGTAAATTAGACCTAAAAAAACAAAATTAAAAATTTTCTCCACTTTATGAACACCATGTTTCCTGCATGTCTTTTGTATACAATATACAGAGAAAAACTGGGTTTTCGGACCCATTTCTTGATTGTGCAGGGTGGCGGCAAATTTCATAGTAGGATATTAAAAACACACCATAAGGGAGTAACCGTAATGTATTTATTACTTTTCTTATGTCGATTAATAATTAAAGGTATGTCATTTGCTAATGTGTAAGTCACAGTCCATTGCGTAGATTACTTTTGAATAGGATGCCCCCTCTGCACAACACATTCATCCAGGCGGCGTTGGAAGCTTGCCATAACTCGGAGTAACGTATTCCCTGGGACATTTAACGACAGCAGTTCTGATGCAATCTTTCAACTGAGGATTGGTGGCACAACGGGATCGGTAAAACTTCTTGCTTCAGGTGGCCCCCAAAGGCGGCCAGGAAATGTCACTAAAACGGAAAATTACTCTACCTGGAAATGTCTGTCACAATGGTCTGTCCATCTGGAACTTTCCCATGACGTCCCAAGTTGAAATGTTGCCGAAATAGACGCTAAGTAGCAATAACAATATAGTTGTTCTTGAAATAAGTTACAACAGAAAAGGCACGATGCTGTGCACTTCACCGATCCATATCACTGTCGCACTCGAAATGGCAGCACATTAGTACTCGAATGCGGCACGAGCTGGCGCGCATTCATGCAGTACGTCATTGTACTACGCAAGTCAAATTACGCTATGAACGCTGCCGCACCCTGACCCTGTACTTGTGTCAGTCGCTACCAGTCCATCAAACATTCTAGATATGTACTGGTACGCAGAATAAGTAATCAAACTAAAAAACATTTTGCGTATTTATTTTCTTCTTATGAATATCTCTTGAATTAAAAATCAATGCAGTGTTGAGAGGTAATGTTGATATAGATTTATTGTTGTCCCTATTGAATATTGAAACATCTATAATGGACTTTGCATATCTTTTGAACAGTGCTGCCCTTGGAGCTCACCTTTGTTATAATCGCACAAGCTAAAAACTCGTAAAGAATTGTCGTTCCTGGACAATGAGAGATATTTTTAAAATTTTGCTTATTGTAATAAATCTTAAATTTGCAAATGATAAAACAGTTTATGTAAGCGAAACGTGAATTTGACATAAATTTTATGAAGCAATAGCTATAAGGTATTTTTCCCACCTTCTTAA